AGCCCCCCCCCCCCCCCCCCCCCCCCCCCCCCCCGCACCCCCCCCCCCCCCCCCCCCCCCATATTCGGTAACGGTGGTTGACCCAATACCTACTATCTCATCGCTCGGGAGCCGCAGTACTATGACAACGACTGTTGTGAGTAATAATATCAATATGTCTGATGAGTAATAGGGGACTGGTTTCACTCTTAAAGAACCAGGTATTACTAATAACCATAAAGCCATCAGTGGTAACCTCAGAACAGCGACGCCACCCCTCTTCCAAATGATAAGAACACGAATTGAAGAAATCATGACCACACATCCTCCCCATCGAAACCAACTCCCTCTTCCCCAAGACTCTTTACCAAGAACAGAAGGCACGATCAATAGTAAACCCCTTTTTGCAACCCAATCATACCCTCCTCCCTCCCATCCATCGCCACACTCTTGATACCAAAATCCTCGACTGCCAAATCCGCAGCATCCAACTCCGCGAGAACTCCAGCCTCTTCCACCTCTTTCCTGCTTCCGCCAGAGCTGCCCTGCTCAATACACTTAAAGCTTCCGAACTTGGGCATGCCGATTGCGATACCGGGGAACGTCAGCTTCTGAAGAATGTCGCCTGTACACGAAAAGTTCTGGTAGAGGGCGCACGTAGAGCCTTGATCAGGTCCGAGTGATGCGATACCGCCGGGGCTGCCTTGGATGTGGCATTCCGTGTTGGGTTGCGTCCAGCTGCATTCGCCGGCGAAGTTGGATTTGGTGCAGGTGTAGTAGGCACCAGGAAGACCGCGCCGGGAAAGAAGATGTGTTGGTAAGGCTGAGATGGTGGTTGTAGTGGTGGCAATGGTAAGTAAGAGGGCTATGAGCGCGATAGCTGTATACATTGCCGGGTTTGTTGGACCGGACGACGATTAGGAATTAGCTTTGGGCTATGCCTGTGTGTATGGCGTAGTGCGCGTATGTGTGTAATTTGTCTTTGGGGAACACTTGACTCGGTGTTTCAAATGTTCTTATGACAGCCGTGGGGTGTATTTGTGACTGAGCCTTATCGTCTTGTGAGCCACCGAGTCTCATGATTGTCTGCGCGCGTCGTACGGACGTAGATTATACGGTCACGGGTTTGCGTACCTATTGCACAAACGGACAGGTTGGTGCATCAAGCACAAAGTCTGGAGTTTGTCTCTTTGTCACGGACAGCAAACATCTACAAGGAGATGTAGAGATGTATTGGCGTGACTCCATGGCGATGACAACGCCACGAAAGCTTTCAATAGGCCATACGAAGAAACCAAAAGACGTATAGAGAGGGGAAGAAGAATTGCAAGAGTGCCAAAATATCCAAAGACTAGAGATGTGAGAAGGAGATATGTGCTACAAGGTGCATCGGATGCGCTCCGCAACGATGGCGCGACATGGGTGGGTTGCTGCTTTGAAACGACCTTCAGCGGGGCTAATGATGAGATGCAACCAAAAGGGTCGCAGTACTCGCAAGCCCATGCCACGAATCGTCTTACAGCCGCGAACTCGCTGGGGGACGCGGGTGGCATGCATCTGGGCTGTGTCATCAACGTGTCGCCGCCAAGCTGTCGCCGGTGCCGCCAATACGCACTTTTGGCTTGACAGGTATGACTGGGTTTGGTTGGTTATGATCGTCAGGTACGAAGCTGCGAGACTTCTGCAGGATGCCGCTATAGTGGACAGCGATCTTACACGTCGCATGGGTCGTGCATTTACAAAAGTGCTGCTCTTCGCGTCGGGTTGCAAAGTTTGTGTCGTTTTGGTCGTACCTAGGTAGGCAGGTGTGCATGATAGAGGCGCGACGGTGACGCGCCGGCAATAGGTATGCACATGCCATGCCATGCCACGCCAACATTGAACTCACATGCCATGCTTTGGACTTGAAAAGCAAAGAAAAGGGTCGATTACAATCTCACTCCTCCTATCTTGCGCAGGGGCTGTTGGGTACAGAAGATACCTAGGTAGATTGCGCGGTCAAAGGATAGGTAAGTCGGCCGCAATTTGCTTGCTTCTGCCAGCGTCATTTTACACTCGGCAATAGAAGAACGTTATCTTCACATGAGTCTAACGAGCCATCACAGTAAACTTAATACAGGTGTACATCAAAGGGCGAAGGCATCCTCGGACCCTACAGGTCAGTGGCTATCGCAAGCCCGACATGCAACCCACCACCATTTCCACCCTTCCACATCTACCAAACGGCCCGACACGATCCGAGGACTCAAATCCACTACCCCCAAAAATAAACCTACACAATGCTTTCGCTTCATGATGCGCAAAACGGCATGCGCCGCGTTCCACTGTTCTTTCGTTGCGTCTTCCGAAACCGCGAAACCCCAGGCGTTTTGCAAATAGGGAACCACCCCAACTGTGGGGGTACCTAGCCACATTAACACGTTAGTGAGGTTGATCAAACACACTCGGTACAGTACAGATGTGGTCTCGTGGATGGTATGCTGCAGGCATTTACTATGTCATGGGGATTGCTGAGCGTAAGGATAGTATAGCTGGGACATAGTCGCTATCTTCTACGTCGTGTTGTACGTTACCACACAGCAGCTCGGGGGTGTACACGAGTCTCTGCGGTAAGTCTTGATTATGAGAAACGCCGTGAGTACCTCCAGGTTATGAGATCAGCCTCATTGATGTATCGCACGACGGTCACAATATGCTCAAGGGTATGTTGGAATGCTCATCTGTATCTCATTCAAAGCCACTGTCACCAGCAACTAGATATAACCGCTACTCTCCAAACCTGCAAGCAGATCTGTAGACGCCACGTCACGCCACATGATTTAACCCCGTCCTTACGATAGTCTAGCCCTCTTGCGAGCCCAACCCGGTCCCTCATCGGACGGAGGACCCGGATTCGAGGACGAGGACATCTGCTGCTGCTCGGGAAAACCTCGGCCGCCAGCAGTGAAAACGAACGCCGGTCGTACTAAAGCTGGAGCTCGAGGAGTAGGCGGCTTCGCCATGTGTTGTGAGATGTAAGCCTCATACATCTCCTTTTGCTTCATCAACTCCTTTTGATGGCCTTGTTCCATCTGGAGCACCTGGGCTCCGCATCGCTTCCCGAGCGCGTTCAACTTCTTTCGACACTTCTCTTCTAGGGCTTGGTCGTAATCTAGATGGCCTTGGATGTCCTGGATTCGCTTGAGCTCGGCAGCCTCGGTCGGTGAGAGAACCTTGGCTACGGTGTTCTGCCAACTGTTCATGATGAATGTTAGCTCAGGAGCACGTCTGGCCAGCTCGTTGGTATCGAGCTCTTGTACGTTCTTCGCAGCTGATCTGATGTGGTTGAGGAGAGCATGGAGTGGAGTGTGTGGCGGAGTCGAACCAGACGTAGAGCCGCTGCCGGTAGATCCGTATGAGCTAGACCCAGCAGTAGACTTCGCTGGCTCAGAAGCTGCCAATAGCGACAAGATCTTCGTTTCGGCGATGTTGGAGTCGTCATGTACCGAGGGGAAGGGGCGCACAACGTTACGATCTTCAATTGTCTTGCCCAGAGAGCGTGCAATAGCTTCAGCAATGTCCTCCTCGTCTTCGTCGCTGGCGTTGTCATTTCCCGCGGCACGTGGAGATTCCGACTGTTCCGCTCTCTTTCCAGCTTTCAAAGAAGAGATGGTGTGTGACCCCGTTTTGCTCTGCCTTGCGACGTTTTGTAAACAGTAGTCGATCCTGGTCGCTCGTCGCGCCGCATTCTCGTAGAAGTCATTACCGCCGTGGGCGCTGAGAACGATCCCTTTGAGGGTCTCTTCACGCTTCGCTTCGTCTTTGACTATGTTGCTGGTCGCATCTGCATTGCGTGAAGTAGCGGAACGGCGACTGTACGTTATAGGCGGTCTAGGGGCACCAGAGGGACGGGGAGTGAGCTGTGGAGGCATCGTGTGAGACGATGGTGCAACGTCTGCGTTAAGCGGAAAGAGAGTCATCGTGGCGCAGGTGAAATAGAACATATAGGTAGACCGTGAAAGACATGCGCAAGTTGGGGTCCGACGTGAGAAATAGGGTTTTGACGTAGTCCCGCGGGTGAGCAGGGGGGGGGGGGGGGTGGTGATATTTTTTAAAAA